TTCAGCAGAGAGTATCATGTGTTTTGGGACTTGCCATGGGAAGATTTGTGTAGAAGGAAGGGGAAAAAAGATCTTCTATTCCCTTGCACTGCAGGACAGGCTGAAGTCCCTGGCTATATAAAAAAAAAGGTGCTAATCTTCTAAATACTGTTTTATCTATGTATGGAGGTTCCTCTCTGCTTCAGCTGGCCACAGGATGCTGTTCTGCTCGTCTCATCCCAAGAGTCTAACACCGTTGGCTGGGATGAAGGCATAAAAAACCAGCATAACATACCAGACTTCTGCATCTAACACAGTTGCTACCTGACAGGTTATATGGAGAAGGTCACCTGCTGCTGTCTTTAGGCAAGCTGTCAGTGTAGTGTTGAACAACTCATTGTCTTCTCCCTAAATTATTTAGCCACCTTCTTTTTTCACTAAATAGGCCAGTATGTTATTACTTTGTCTTTAAGGGAGCTGCCATCGGAGGTAGCCCAACATGTAAAGAGACTCTACTAAAATTTTTGGTAATTGTACAATCTACAACCTATGTAACTCCTCTAAACAGTCTATTTATTATTTTTGGCTCATTTCTTTTGGGTAGGAGGATGGATTCAGTGAGACAAATGGAAAAGTACTCATTGCATGGACTTCTACGTGGACAAAACAAGCTGTTACAAGTCAGCTTTGATGAAGTGGCTTGTACTGTTGCCTTCCCTTATTCTGAAAAGTCAAGGTATGTCAACTATACCATATCCTCCACTGAGGATTCCCAGTAGTCCTTTAAAAAGCTCACAACCTTCTGCCATGAGAATGATGGCTTATACATTCTCACCTTTCTTCACCTGCAATCTCAAACAATTTCCTTTAATATACCCCTAATATAACACCCTCAGTTATAATCTCTCAGGTTTTATAGCATTTTTAACTTTGCAAAATATAAAACTTTGATCTCTTATAACTACTAAACTTTTATATATATACATGTGATCACTTTGTTTAGAGGTAGATTTACTGCATCTTAATGCTATGCAAACATCTCAGATGATAAAAAGTTCTGTGGACTATGTAGGAATTAATGGTTGATGATTTCTGTATACTCAAAAAAATTTTAAAGCACAGTGTTGCCTTATTGTTAGCCATACCAACATAAATGTGCTGGTTTTCTTGCTTATCTTAACGGTTATGTCCAGCCTGATATCAGAGATCCCCTGTGCTAGCTCCTGCCTGTTACTTAAAGTCTTTCAGTATTTAAAAGGGGCTTATAAGAAAGATCGGGACAGACTTTTTAATAGGGCCTGTACTGATGGGACCAAGGGATAATGGTTTTAAACTAAAAGAGGGTAGATTCAGACTAGAGATAAGGAAGAAATTTTTTATGATTAGAGTGGTGAAACACTGAAACAGGTTGCCTGGAGAGGTGGTACATGCCCCACCCCTGGAAGCATTCAAACTCAGGTTGGACGGGGCTCTGAGCAACCTGATCTAGTTGAAGATGTCCCTGCCCATTGCAGGGGAGTTGGACTAGATGACCTTTAAAGGTCCCTTCCAACCCAAACCGTTCTATGATTCTAAATGGGAGTTAGAATTCTTACCTCAAAATAGTGTGGGAACTTAGGGAAAGGAGAATGGTTTCAATGAGAAAAACAGGAGAACAGTCGTTGTGGGGACATCTACTTGGATGAAAAAAGCCAGTGCAATCCTAGTGAGTACATATGAATAGACTAACCGCATGAAAATGTAACACTATTTATCTGCTTTCCTTATGTGCTTTCCTCCAGCATTTAATTAACAGCACGTAGAAACAGAGCCTTCCCGCAGAAAATGACCCTCTTGTAATAGTCACAAACCCTAGGAGGTGTGTCCCAAGCAAAGCGTTTATGCTGAGCCCTCCACTTCTTGCTTCTCACTAGTGTGCTTGGCTTGTACCTTGTCAGAGGCTTGTATGGTCGGAGACCTTGCTACACTCTGGAGCCTGCTGGGCAATATTGTCTTTCATAATATATGGGGAATTGCTCTCAAGGAGCTGTGCCTTCGGTTACTAAGGGTATGTTTGAGCAAAGTACCAGTCTGCTGGGGAAGAAAGATGGCATCTGTTCCTCTGTTTTTACTTTCTGATATCTGACCTATTTCTCCTCAAAGGCAAATCTTCTATCTGCCAACCCAACCTCTGTGCTTTTGCAGCAGTTACAGGAGTAACAGATGTATGGACCTTGAAGTCACTGCGCTTGTACCATTTACTCTTGAGAGTTGAGTAGCAGCTCAAGGTAGAACAAAACAGATTGGGATTGCTTCACCAAAGCAGTGGGCCATCACAGAGCCAAAGAATCACAGATCATTCACTGATGTACTATTTTTGCTGCTGAAGCTGAGGCGGATAGGGAGAATTACCACAGCTGGTTTTCTTCTCTCTGGCCATATTCCTTCCTTTGCTGTTCACTTGTGTTCATTCATTCTGACAGATCACTAAAAGTCTTCCTTGATCACTTGCACCATGGAGTCATTTTCCCCACAGTGATGCTGCAGGATTCCATTTGTTCATTAAGTTGAGATCCTGAAATGAAAAGTCTTTTTAGTAGACATTAGCATATGTGATATTCTGGATTTGCATGTTAATGCACTGTGCAAGCATGGGAATAGCATGGCAGAGAGCCATCCATTGAACTGATGGGAATAGCATGGCAGAGAGCCATCCATTGAACTGGCTGGGGGTTTGTTCCTGGTACTGTAATGCTTTGTATGCCTTAGGGTATCAGAGCTCTTAGATGCACGAGGAATGCAAGATGTTCAAGTGCCCAGGAAAACTGGCAGTCCCCTTTTGTGGATTTATCATGGTGATTTCAAGCTGCCACTTGCGTTACGGAAGAAACAGTCAGAAATCCTGGAGCTTTCAAAGTGCAAGCAACCTGGGGTACAGCTGGCCTCCTTAATGAGACAGGTACAGGTATAGGGAGATTGCTGCAAAAATAAATGCTTCCAGGTGGAAAGCCACAATTAGTTTCCAGTAGTTGTGACACTGAAATGAGGTTCAGGGCTGAGCTCATGGCTAAACTGCATTGATGAGGGACTTCAGATCAGCTTGTTAAATATTGGCCTTACAGAACACATAGGACTGACTTACTGTTGCACTAGCAGAACAGCTGTCACTTTCTGGTTGAAAATTGCTACAGAAAATGTCAATTAATGGCATTTTTTTTTTTTTTCCCTAACACCTTACATCTGAGTGAGCTTTAATGATAGCTGCCAAGGTCCTGGCTCATCTCATCAGCAGCAAAGCATACTTTACTCTCTGATCAGTTGAAAAACGGAACTTCTTACAGGTAACTGCTGCAAATATCCAACATGGCCCCCTGCAGGTAAAATCATCGTTTTCCCTACTCACCACTGTCCAGGCGAGCTCACTAGAACAGCTGTGCTGTAGCTAACATTCTGCATTCCTGGAATTTTCTTTCCTTACAAATGCACTTATAGTCCCATTAGAGATGTGTGATACCTCAGCCATTCTGGTACTAATGTTTTTGGGTTAAGTTGTACTGCTGCAGCTTCATTTAACAGTGCTGTAGTGTGTCCCAGTTTAAAATCTGTGAGGCAAAACGAAACTGTGGCATTGTAGTTCCAACAGCTGTCAGCTGGATGAGCCTAGCTAGGTCCTCACACAAAACAACGGTTGGTAGAAATCAGTGGGAAGGGCAAGGATATATGGAATATTTGGTCTGTTGTAATCTAAAGCTTTGGAATTTAGTAAGCTTTTTTGGATTAGTGGATGCTTTATACTGGAGAGCTAGTTTTCATCCAGAGGCTTACTCTACAGTGATGGACCATGTCTATGTGGGTAATTATGTCATAAAGTCCATTTCCTACAACACCTCTGTAATTACATTTGCCTTGCCAAATGGGTTCTAACCAGTATGTACAGGTATTTGTAATAGTCTGTCTTCAGGCAAGGTACAATATCATCACGCTTTTGCAAATGACGGTGGGAAACAGGGCTGTGGGTGCTACCGAATTATCAGGTAAATAACACTCCTTTAAGGTTTCAAACGATGATACCATATGTTGGTGCCTGATATGTCATCACATTAGAATCTGCTCGAAACCCACAAAATGCTCCAGAGAATTGCCACTAATAGCACTGTGACAATGTTAATAACACAAACGATGCATACAAATGACTCAGTAGCGATGAATGCGATTCCAGTTTTCATTGTCAAAATATGAATGATTATGGATCAATGAAGAGCCGCCTTTCTGCTCTGGAATATGTCTGATGGCAGACAAAGTGACTCCTGGAAAAACAGTGCTTTCTTTTTCTGGTTAATTTTTGAAAGCTGTCACCATATGCTTTGTGAGCTAGCAGGTGGGTTATGTTTGTAGAGTATTTAAGGCAGTAATATT